CAGGGCATCAGATGACATATTGCATTGAGAAAATCTGCTGCAAAAGACCTCTTTCAAGTGATGAAAAACAAAGATGTCTTCTTGAAGACTAAGGTGCACCTAACCCAAGCCATGGTATTTTCAATGCCTTCTTATGCATATGAGAGCTGGACAATGAATAAGGAAGACCAAAGAAGAGTTGATGCTTTTGAGTTGTGGTGTTGGAGAAGAGCGCTAAGAGTACCATGGTCTGCTAAAAGGACTAACAAATCTGTCCTGGAAGAAGTGCAGCCAGAATGCTCCTTGAAAGTGAGAATGGCCAGACTTTATCTCACCTACTATGGTCATGTTGTCCGAATGGATCATTCCCTGGAGAAGGATATGATGCTTGGTAAAGTGGAGGGTCAACCAAGAAGTGGAAGGCTCTCAAAGAGATGGATAGACAGAGTGGCTGCCATGATGGGCTCAGGTATAGCAAGGATCATGAGGCTGGCACAAGACTGGGCAGTATTTTGTTGCACTGTGCATAGCGCCACTGAGTCAGAGACAACTTGACGGCACCTAACAGCAACAACACTTGAGGACTTCACCACTACCTTTCTCAATAACCATTAGAACTATTAGACAAAAAATCAGAAGAGAGATAGAAGAACTGTATGACACAATCAACCCATAGGATCTATTGACATTTATAAAATACCCCACTGTACAATAGCAAAATAAATATTTTTTTCAAGTACACATGGAGCCTTTATTATGACTCAAAATGGATTATAAAAGAAACCTCAAAAATTTATGGGAATTGAAATTATTTGTAGTATGTTCTCTGACCATAATAGAATAAAACAAGAAATCAATAATAGAAATAAAACAGGAAAATCTTCAAACAAATGAAAATTAACCAATATAGTTCTAAATAGGAGCTCTAGTGGTGTTGTGCTTAACCAGAACACTGGCAATTCAAACCCACCAGCCACTCCTTGGAAGGAAGGTTGGGCAATCTACTTCCGTAGTGACACTGCCTTAGAAACCCAAGGAGGGTTTTCTATGAGTCAGATCCAGTTCAACAGCTGTGCGTTTGGTTTGGTTTTTGGATCCATGGATCTAACAATCTAAACAATCCATGGATCAAAGAGGAAGTCTTGAAGAAAATGAAAACTACATAGATGTAAATCAAAATGAAAAGGCAGTATTTCAAGATGTGTGGGATGCAGGTAAAGAAATGTTGAAAGGATAATTTATAGTAGTCAATTTCAATGATTACATAAGAAAAGAAAATGGTTTCAAAAGAAACCTCTAAGTTCCTACCTCAAGAAGTAGAAAAAGTATAGCAAAGTAGGAGAAAAAAGGAAATTATAAATGTAAGAACAGAGATTAATGAAACTGAAAGCAATGGAGATAGTTAATGGAACAAAGATTTTTTAAAAAACAATCTATAAAATTGTTAAATCTCAAATAAGACTTAGAAAAAACAAAAAGAAGACACATATTTTCATTAGGAACGAAATCAGGAATATCAGTACAGAATCTGTAGCAATTAAAGGGATAGTAACAGAAACTATCGACAACGTGTAGCATTGGGAAAGTCAACTGCGAAGGAACTGTTTCAAGTGCTGAGGAGCAAGGATATCTC